ATCCTTGATCCATTGTGAGAATAAATCTTTGTAGGCTTCTGCAAGCGGTTCACCTTTTTCTAAGAGGCATATGACAGACTTGCTCCATATTGCGGCCATGTTTGAATTTGGCTGGCAATGTTTTGGGTACAGATAGGATTTAAGGAGTGGAGCAGCTACTCTTCCTTCTTGGCTGATTGTAATTTGCTGTAGATATTCTTTGTATTGGTCCGTTTTGTAGGGGGTTTCTTTGTTGATATCCCCAAGAATATTGATTTGATCCTGCTTCAGGAAGTCAATTGTTGGGTTGGTGAGTTCCTCATCAAGATTTGCTGTTTGATGTCCAAAAACAACATGCAAGCATGGTCTTCCTGTTAGGGGGGGGGGATGAGGATTGTCCCAATTTCCACGGGCAATGAGCCCAAATTCTGATGGTACAATGTTGAAGGTGGAATGCGACCAATAAGGATCCTGGTCGTGTTGATATATTGTCACCTAATCCTTGCCCCCCAGCACAATGTCAAAGGTGATATTAGTGCTTTTGAGGAGGCGTGGATCAGCTAGGAAATATTTGAAATCCTGTAGCTGTGAAAGTGTATGGGGGTTGGTTGCCCCCCAGGGTTCTTGCAATGGTACAACAACGGCTGTGGTTTCCAAGGTGAATGTTGCATTGTTTCTAGGCTGCAAATGCAGCTGAACCAATGTTGTTGACTGCAGGCGAGCATTGCCAATTCCCCCAATAGTATGGGCTGTGGCTGTTTGTAATGTTGGTAGATGAAGTCGCTGAACAAGGGCTTGTGTCACCAGAGTCAATTGCAACCCTGTGTCAAGTAACGCGTGGACCTTGACGTTCTGTGGTTGTATTTTGATTGTTGCAGTTTCCTAAAGAGAGTATGATAGAGAACTTGTTGCAACATTTGCCCAAACTAGTCATGCTGGGTTGGCTATTGCTGCCAGTGCTGGCAATGCTGACGCCAGTGGCAGTAATGGTAAGCAATCAGATGGCTTGTAGGATTTATGCAAAGTTGCAAGGATCTCGGTCATTTGATTGATTGTTTGATTGAAGTCCGCCATTGCTCCTGTTATTGGAGTTGCCATTGCGGTTAGTTTGGTTGTTGTTGTTTTGTCCATTGTTGTTGCGTTGGTAGTTGTTTTGATTTCAGTTGTTGTTGAAGTTGTTAATATTTTTGTTGTTGAGCCTGAATCAGTTCTGAGAGGATTTGTTGCTCTGAAAACGGTTGCCTTGGTATCCGCTATTGTTTCGGAAACTATTGTTCCCGCCGTAACTGCTGTTACCTTGAGGCCCATTATTATAGGCCTGTAGGCATAATGATGAGTGGTGAGGTAGGTTGCATGTTTGACATCTTGCCCTAGAGCCACAATTGGCAATGTTATGATTAGAGCTAAGGCAGTTGTAGCACAAATTGTTTCTCTTGACAGCAGTTACGCATTCAGGTGTACTGAGTGCGCATTTGAAGGAGCTGTGTCCTTGTTGACAAAATGGGCAAGCAAATTTTCTGCCTGAATTGTTTTGATAATCCAAATAGCAGTTAGGTCCACTTCCTTTATAATTGGATATTCTCTGAGAGCGACGAGGTGACCAATCTTCTTGGTCCAATTTTTCCGGTGTTGCGGATTGACTGCAATTCCTTCAAGATTTCTTTTCTCATGTTGAGGAATGGTCAGATTTATGTGAAGAGTTGGTACCCCTTGTATGCTGTGGACTTCTACGGTCCTCATTTTTCCTTTTCCTTGAATCCAAGTCTTAGTCCTTGTTCTTGAAGTTGGATTTTTTGTATGATTCCTTCTCTTTCCCTTTCTTATTGGAGGAAACGTTGAGGAACGTTAGCGCCGTGGGAGACACTTCATCCTTTGGCGCTTCTGCTTTCAAGAATTTTCAAATCCACCAGTATTGATTTGCCAGGGTACTTTCCCATGTTGCGGATTCTGATGCGCGATGAGGGGGATTCAGTTTCAGCTCATGCAAAATGTTTGTGAGATGTCCACCCTTGCGCCAATTATGTTTGATGGTTGGCCACAGGCGTATATGAACTTGAGGCATGTTTGAGCATAGATTATGAAGTTGGGTGGTTATGTCAACCACTCTTTCCATATATTTTGCCATATTGTCCGCTGTGTTACCATCTGGTTTGAGGTTGTCAAACATCCTGAAGACACATTGCCAAGTTGCTTGGATATTCCCATATTCTTCAATAAGAATTTTGAGAATCCTGCAGTAATCGGACTCCTCTTTTTTATCTGGTTCTTGGTCCACAAGATTGTTTGCTTTCCCTTCAAGGTAAAGTAAGAGCAGGCCAATTCTTTAGGATGGCGTGATGTACTTTGTTGGAATAATGTGGATTTTGTGAAAGTTGGACCAGAAACGGTCAAATGTATATTCCTCCGCCACATTTCCACTGAAACGTTCAAATGAGAGGGAGTAATGTTTTCTTTTCCAAATCCCGTATGAATAACGGAGGTGGTTGCGGCATATCTTTTGCTGATGCGTAAGTTTGTAACCCTAGCAGGTATGGGTCAGCTTTGTTGTCAATATTGAGTAGCTCATGAGACTGCGTTTGGTTGTCTTGATAGGGAACTAAGTCCCTCTGAGCGTTAGAAGCACGGTTCACTGGAGCATCCTTTTCCTGAGGTGTAAATACACCTGGGGATGGTTGCACACAAGGTGAATTTGGAAATTGCACTCCCAGGATACATGGTTGTTTAGGCCTCAATTCCGGCCATTTGGTTTGGAGCTGCTCCGGTGTTTGGAGAATTATGGCATTCAGTTCCTCGCACAATTGCAAGATCTGATACTGGCCTTCATCCTCAAAATGATGGTGTCTGAGTGAGATGAAGTATATAGACGCAGTCATGAACATTTGGTATTTTTGCACAAACGTTTGATACGTATTTGCACTTTGCAGTTGTTTATATGCTTCATCACATAAGTACATGGCATGCGCCAGAATATCAACCTGCTGGATGGTGGGGTTGGGATCAAACTGGGTCAACGTACTTGAGGTTGAGATGCCCGTCATAAATGGAGGTGGTGACGGGTTGGGAGGAGCAGCGACAGGTTGCTGCGGCGGTCTGCTGGGTTGTCGTGTGCTCCTTGGTGCTTTGAGCTGAGTGAAACCTGGCAAATTTGCCGGTTGTACATGGGGTGGAGCATTTGCTCCCCCCAAATGTAATTGTAGCTGACTTGCGTCAATGATTTCACAATTCACAGCTATTGGCGGATCACTGTAGCAAGATGGCGGTTTGCTCATCCGCGTACGCATGAGAGAAGCACTGGCGGGTGTTGTCAATTTTCTGTGAGGCATGATGATGCTTGTAAATGTACACTGTGTTCACTTCACTCTGTGATGTCAATTTTTGAGGACTTGGATGAAATTTCACCAAGGATTTCTTCTTCGAAGATTTTTCCAAGACTTGTTCACAGTCCTGTACTCTGATCTTGAGGTTGGTAGATAGTTATTTACTGGCCACCACATTTGTCAGGGGCTAATGAGCCTCAGTGACAAAGATTAATATTTTGGTTAAATTGAATCGAGTTATGAAATGATGTAGTCTCAATCGGCCGTTTGCGGCCTGACCCAGCAAAGAATGGGGGCGTTGGGCTGGGGACCGTTTTGACATTGGCATTGGCAACGCCGTTGCAGCACCATTGTTTGTCCTTTCTTGTTCCTTCTTTTGAATTTGTGTCTAGATATGAAAACTGCACAATTCAATGCTTAGTACCATCACTCAATTACCATCACGCGCCTTCAAGTAAGACACGCCCCCTAATTTTTAGAGACGGAAAATTGCAATATTTTGAAAATCAAATTCGCCAGAATGTACATTTTGACTTGAGTTATGGTCAATTTGAATAGTAATTTTCTAAGTTTTCAAAATTTGTGTTGAAAGTGCTTCAAACTCTCCTGTTGATATCGAGTAAGTAATAAAGTACCAAAGCCTTGAAAATTGCGAAAAAAAATGAAATAAAAATTTCACCCGCTTGAGCCTTGCACATGCAGTATATGTCTTCATGTGAGAAAATGAATAGTTTTAGGCAAAATGAACTTTCACAAAAAGGATTGAAGACGAAAAAACTTGAGAAATTCTCAAATAGTTGATTGATATCAAGTGATAATAATTTGGAAAGAAATTGGTGCTGATAAGTACGTGGAAGTTTGAAATGAAGAAAACAAGATCAAGCAGCCAGGCTGCGGCTGGGACAAAGTCGTCCTAGTTTAAATTGATACATTTTCAGGATGGTAATAGACTTGGTAAAAAATGGTCAAGTTTCACTGGACAAATGTAGAATTTTGCACAATACGCAAAAAGCTTCTCTGTTCGGAGATCCGTTCGGGTTTGCAACTTAAAACGCAAGTGTTCAATCAGATGAATTGCAGAAACCAAGAAAGGAAGAGTTGAAAGACAAGGAGTAAAGGTCTATTCAAGAATGTCCTTGCTGGGGGTGCAGGAGAAAATCCCGTGGGAGACCAAATCCCGCGAGGCCAAAAATCTCGCGGGGTCCGAAAATCCCATAGGTACAAAAATTCCGTATACTAAAAAATTTTTGCTATTTTATCAGAGTTTTCCTTCCAACTGCTTCGGAGGTGTCAGGGGCTAATGAGCCTCAGTGACAAAGATTAATATTTTGGTTCAATTGAATCCAGTTATGAAATGATGTAGTCTCAATTGGCAGTTTGCTGCCTGAGGTAAATACCTCAACTCCTTGAGTATGTTCTTCAAACTTCCAACAATTTTCCAATATGATTTTCAGCACACAAAAATACGCAGTCTGTTCTCTCTGGAGCTCAGATGATAAGTGACAATATTTCACACTGAAAGGAGCAGGCTCAGGTCCTCCTCTGGTGGAAAGTTTCCTCAAGGCTTTCTGCCAGTGTGTCCAATTGTTATTTGTTCAATTCTCATGATCATGATGATTCACAAGAGTGGAATAAGTCTTGGAGATCACTATCTCCAAGGCTATCCCTGGTGTGTTTAAGTTTCCAAGGAATCTTGTTTCTTTTCTAATCATGATGATTCATAAGAGTGGAATAAGTCTTGGAGATCATTATCTCCAAGGCTATCCCTGGTGTGGTTAGGTTTCCAAGGAATCTTGTTTCTTTTCTAAAAATAAAATAATAAATTTATTAATACTTACTTCTTTTTCAGGAATTATTTTCTCCGAGTTACGAGGATGACGCAGCGTTTTGTACGCCACGTCGTACTCTCGTACATTCTCTTATTGTGCCTACTTGGGCGGCATCTGGTTGTCCCAAGTTAATCGGGGCATGCGCGGGCCACATCTAGTTGGCCTGTGACAGGAGGAAAGCAAATACTGTATGGTGGATTTTAGGGATTTCCAAGATTTGGGAATTATCTCTCTCAACAGAACGTCAACTTCACTTCCTCACCTTTCTCCTGAGGAAACGTGCGAAAAATGTAACCTTCATTTGGATCAAGACTTCGTCCCTGTCTTTGTTTTGTACGTAAAATGTTCACTTTTTCAATTATTTCAAGCTCTACTTTGTCTTCAAAACATGAATTCTTACATCAGAAAAACTTCGTATGATATCTCCATATGGTGATGGTCTGTAAATAATTTCAAAATCATCAAATAAGTCCAAGTACAGTTGTATGATGATATTTCATTTTGTCAAATTTCAATTTCAATATACAAGTGAAGTTGTTTCATTATGCAATAGAAGTTCAGTTGAGGTTCTATGATGGAGAGAGGTAATTCCTAAACCTTGGGAATCCTTGGAAGGAAACCCCTCGCACTTTCACCATTTCATAATCCACCATACAGTATTTGCATTCCTCCCAGGCAGTTGGAAGAAAAACTCTGCGAAAATATCACGATTTTTGTAGTATGCGGGATTTTCGTACCTACCGGATATTCGGACCCCGCGAGATTTTCGGGCCTACGGGATTTCATCATGGAGCCCCTTGCTGGGCCTGTGAACCGAACTCGGGTTCGGTTCTCAGGCTCCAGCAGAAGCAGCTAATTTTTCTTGTGATTTTTGGACTAGTCTGGCGCCGAATCATCGGCATACACAAGTTTTTTCCTACACTTCGTGTTGATTTCGAAAAAAAAAGAAGCGTGGTACAGTTCTTGAGTAAAAATGGAGCATCGTTGTCCAAAAAAAACTCCTTTAAAGAACTACTTTTCGAGAGAATTTGAGCAGGTGAATGCAATTACTCACCTGGCTGTGAGAATGCAGCCGGCATACAGGAATGGTTCGAAAGCCGAGTCACTATTGGTTCGTCCCATGACCGAGACCATGAACGGAGCATGCGTATCTTCAATTCGTCCTTGGGGCACTAGTTCCCTTCTGAATGCAGCATTGGATCCTGGAATTTGAAAGGAAGCTCTTTTTTTTTTCAAACTTGCAACCTCGAAAACTGATCGATGGAGATCACTCGAATTGTGAGAACTTCTGTTGAACTCGCATCATTTTCTTGCGGTTCATGAGTTAATCTGTTTTTTTTTTTCGTGTACATTTTTTTACTGTACAACAAAGCTGCCTTCTACATATACGAAGCAGAAATGAGGTTCAGCTCGAAATCTTCCAGTTTTATCTGGGTTGACACATTTTTAGCACCCTGATTGGGTGCTGAGACATGGGTGGAAAACTGGCTGTAACTGTAACATTTTTTCTGAAAATTGTGAGAATAATAGGATCTTCTTTTTATTCGAAAAAAATCCCAATTCCGTTTACGACGGTGTGGGCTGTATTTTTTGTTTGTTTTATATCATACCCATAATCTACAAAAGCTATAAATAGCCGAGGTCGTCCTCAACTGGGACAATCCTCGTATACTGTATATGCGTCGTTTGCCCCTTAAATGCAATGTTACTATTTTAGTTCCGAGTCCATTTAGGAGGCGGCAAAACTTGGATTATTCAGAAACAAATCAAACTCTTTCGCACCGAAAATCTAAAAGAAATGTGGGACTCGGAAATTAATATGAAGTGAAAATTACTTATGCCGCATGGCAACCTCACACCGTAAGATTTGAGAAACAAGTAAAAAAAATTATAGTTTCTTCCGTATATAATGTCAAGAAAGTTTAATATCAGTCATATATACTGTAGATACTTTCTGCTGGGATTTTTAGGTAAGTTCGTTGAAATTTTAAAACCTCCACGTTTTGAGAATTATAAACGCTGACGTGTGTGTGTGTTTTTTTTTAATTAGATGCAGCGACAACAATATCCTCAATTGATATGCACGACTTTTAAACCGTCAAATCAATTTTATAAGAATTCAAATTCAGCAGATTTCAACTAATGCGTAGTAAACAAACGAAAAATTCAGATGCCCTATGTGTAGAAATGTTATGACGGAAAATTCGCCAAATAATGGTTTTCGCATATTTTGAAGCCTTGATTAAAAATTGAGAAATTGCTTGTGAACTTCTTACGTGTGAATTAAATTATTGCATGCATATGATTCGCGTTTTCAGGGATGGTATCTACGTCCGAGGACTTCTTGCGAACAATTACAGCACTATTAAAACATCAGCTTCAATTACGAACAATTTTTCGTTATGAATGAGGGCATCCTGACGAAATCTTGAACTGAGATACTGCATATACGGTTCATCGGAAGGAAAGCTTCAGTTTCAGGGCGAGGTATTTAAAATGAATTTTCTTTGACCATTGTGTTCAGCCGAGTTCAGCGGAATAATGAAAAGCTGGAATTTTCTGGTGTGAGTCGTCTCCATCGTGTTGGCGTGCATTCGTCAATAATAGATGAACGAATGCTAAGCCTTATATTTCTGCGAGAGACCTCTAATATTCGAATGTCGTAACACGATGGAGACGACTCACACCAGAAAATTCCAGCTTTTCATTATTCCGCTGAACTCGGCTGAACACAATGGTCAAAGAAAATTCATTTTAAATACCTCGCCCTGAAACTGAAGCTTTCCTTCCGTTGAACCGTATATGCAGTATCTCAGTTCAAGATTTCGTCAGGATGCCCTCATTCATAACGAAAAATTGTCCGTAATTGAAGCTGATGTTTTAATAGTTCTGCAATTGTTCGCAAGAAGTCCTCGGACGTAGATACCATCCCTGAAAACGAGGAACATATTCATGCAATCATTTAATTTACATCTACTGCATATGAGAAACCCCGCCTTTATTTTCAAAAAACGTTTTGGACGTCGTACAGGTATTGTACAGTATTCTCATCGGCCGTTCGGCTCTTCTTCGAACCTAACCATCGTATATTCAAATGCATCTTTCTAGAGTGGATATGTCTCAGATTCCAAACTGAAGATCAGCAGGCAAATTTTTTTTTGGTGCTCTTTCTGGCAGGCTTATCACTCAGCTGAAGACTGACTGGTTCTTCTGCCGGAGCTTTAGCTTTCTTTTCAAGGGTTTTCTGTCCTAATATTGGAAGAATCGTAAAAGACGAGCTGTGACACCGCACAGTATAATACTCATCCCCTGAAATTTATTCATGGTTTTTCTAATTTTTTTTTTCGATTACGAAATAGTGTACGTGTTTCTGCGGATCGGGCAAACGGCAATTTAGCCTGTTACTTTTATTGTTCTCTCAATTTTCTTGGAACATGAAGACTTGCTTGACTGCTTTCAAAAAGAAACAAAAACTCCAGCGTTCAAAACAAATCTTGAAATGTTGTCGTCGTCGTCGACGAGCTCGAAATTCAGCTTGAGCGACTCCGCGTCGCAATTTCAAAAGAAATCGTTCCTCTTGAAATTCGCTGCTTTTCGCTTTATCAAATTTCGAAAAGCAAACTCTTGATTCTTATTTACAGGGCTTTGAATTGATGCAATGAACGAGTTAATATCTCAGCAGCAGAATATTCAACCACATTGAAAAAAGAAAAAAGAGTTCGCAAGAGGTCTGCTACTATTTTTATCGATTCAAACATTAGGCGTCTCTTTTCTGAATCTGAATACTGTTCGTTGGTTATTGATTACATGTCTCAGATTCTAAATTGAAAATTAACCGGTGACTCGATCGGAGGTCCTTTCATTTCTGATGACTCGATTGAAGACTGGTTCATTATACACATTGCCGAACATTGATTCATACTTTTTCTACAGTTTTAGATATGAAATCTGCGTTTCCGCGGGAGTTGTGTTTGATTTTTGCGTCGTACATTTTTCGTCAGGTTACGCTTATTTAGCTTCATTTTCGGTTAGAAAACGAAATTCATTTTCGGTTAGAAAACTAATTGGAAGTGACGATGAATCTTCTTCCATGAAGTACAGTATGGAGATTTTGCGTTTTGAAAAACGACGCGCTTTTCAGGGCAATAAACTAACTGTGTATTTCGACCAGCACCTTCATTTTATTCTTCTTTTTTCTTGGAGCCGGACGACTTGCTCAGACGCTTTCAAAAAGAAAAAAAAATTCCTCCGTGAAATGTTATACTGTAGTTTTCAAACGTTGTCGTTGTCGACAAGTTCGAAATTCAGCTTGAGTGACTCCGCGTCGCAATTTCAGAAGAAATTGTGTCTTCTTTTTTTTCAACGAAATATCTTCGTCCCTCTCTTGCAATTCGCTGCTTTTCGCTTTACCAAAATTTCGAAAAAAAGGAAATTGTTGAATCATCAGCGGACATTTGATTGATGCATTGAAAGAGATAATATCTCAGCAGCAGAGGAAGTCAACGAAACAAAAAATGTTCGCGAGCTCTGCAATTAATTTTTTGCATCAAGAAATCATTCGTCTTTTGACTCTTTCTAAATCTGGCGATTGAAAACATAAAATTTAAAATTTCTGAGTCTGCCGAAGATCCAAAATTAATTTGGATTTGGAATCTATACATCCCCTGGATTTTTGATCAATTTTTCGTCGAACAAGTTTTCTTCGGTCCTTTTTTTCAAATAATGGGTTGGATCAATAAACTTATAATATATTATGAGTAAATATAATAACTTCTGGCATCAAATTTGAATATTTACGTCATTTCGAAAAGAGGTCCGCTTTTTGCTTCGAGCAAAACGTCGATTTTCGCGAGAGTTCTTTCTTTCGTGTATCTTGGAGCTTGAAAATGTCCTTGACTGCTTTCAACGAAATAAACGGAGAAAAAGGCACAAAAAATATAAAAAAAACCATGAAACGTCGTTGATGTCGACGAGCCCGTAATTCACCTTGAGCGCGTTAAAGTTGCAGTACAAAGAAATGATCTTGTTTTCAAAGATATTCCTATTTTATTTTTTAAAAAAAACCATACGCATGGTTTTCCTCTCTGTATTTGTAGTTCTAATTTCCAGGAATTTAAACCGGCGAATTTATGAACCTACCTTTAAATTGTTAAACACACACACACATGTATATACTGTATATCCAATTATCTATATATATCTATAAATATATATCTATATATATCTATCAGCGAATCGAGCTTAAAATTTACGTTTTTGATTTCTCCGTCTCGATCAAGTGCTCACAGAATTGGTAAAATAGTATAGTAACGTTTTTTTTCGAGGTGTAGCGTCGTCGTAAAGCAACTCCTTGTTGATCTGGTTTGGGAAAGGGCCGTGCAACTAACTGAGTTTGCCAGACTGTGTCTCGTGAATGGGGACCAAAATATGCAACTTTTTTTTTTATCCGCAGATCTGACCATCTTAATAATGTAAATAACTCAAGTGATATCTTGAAAGTATTCAATTTCAAAGATTTCTCCGACAAACGTGTCCATTTCACAATGCCAATCAAACTCATGATGTATAATTCACACTTCAAATCAAATCAAATAATTCAAACCCGAAGAAGTTTGATGGAAATATGAGCCCGAGCAAAAGCAAAGTGTGCAATGAAAATTTGCTTGCAAAAATGAAAAGGAACGCAATTGCTGAATATATTCATAATAGCGCGTACGGCTGGAACAGCAGAAATGTGATCTTCGTTTTAACGAAGACTTTCCGAGACAATCCATTTCTTTTTGTCTGACCAGATGAATCAGTTTATGATCTCAGTACAAGTTGCATGTATTTGTTTTCTACCTAAACCCAAGCACGTATAATTTTTGATCATCAGCCAGCCACTATGCATACAAGATATTTTTTGGCCTATTTGAAAATAGGCCACCCTGCATTTATCATTACATCTAATTAATTTTCGCCGTCATGCAACACATTTAGATCATAAGAATATCAACATTTGAAACGTGTTCTCGGATCCTGCTGTATTTTTGATCTATTTTACAAGAAAATGCTCCTCAGAAAGAAATCTACAAAGAGTTTGTTCTGGAAAATTCGTGTTCGGTGTACAGCATAAGGGGTTCCTCTGCATAATAGTCGAGCGCTTGAGTTTTTCGAATCACGCATCAGGGTTCTTTTTACAGTATGAGAGCAAACATGAATTAATCTATTTATCATCTTCATTCTTGCTTCTATATCCGGAAACCAGTCTGCATAAAAACGTTCACCATTGAATAAAAGATGTAGAAATCAGCAATCCCTTAGGCCTTGAGTAAAAGTGTCGCTGCTGAAGAGTGACTTGACGCATGCCAGTCGGATTCACTGCTGCTGGATGAATCGTAGCCCAGCAGGGAATCAATGTTTGTGTTCCAATGCTCTAATTTGAGTTTCGTTCTCGGAGATGGATTTTCGTGGACTTCATTGGATTCTCGAGGGTTAAGAAATCTTTTGAAATCGTCCTTGACATGGATAAACTTCCCGAGTTTTCTGCTGCCAAATCCTTGCCCATCATCAAGGACAGGGTTCTTGTAATTTTGGTGGGCAGTCTGCAAAAAGTCTGAAAACGCAGGTAATAATTCAATGATTCGAAATATATAGCAGTTTAATTTTCAAAATTTTCCTCTAAAGAGGCCAGAAAGAAAAATATTGATTTTGTATACGAAGTCCCGGTTATTAATGCTTCTGTTGGTTATGAACTATTACTAGGTACATACAAGTCCTTCCAAAATTAATGGCTCACCATTTGCAGACTAAAATGAATGTTGACACTTACTAGGATTCCAAAGCCGCAGCAAAACGAGAATCAGTCCAAGAGTGAACATTGAAAAAGCAGCTATCAGCATTAGGTTTACGCCCCAATTTTTGTCAGTAGGGAGGCTTTTCACTGTTCTCATTGTTGAATTTCCGAAAGCCTGCAACCTAAAATCTTCCACTATATTGAAGTAAATATGGAATTCTTTGTTCTCAAAATTCAACAAAATAATTTTTTGCTTATCATGCTCACCTGGTGACTTCCCTTTTGGTGTTGAGTCTGGTAACGAAAATTGTGTTCCTTCAGAAGATTCATGGAAATTTCCTGAAAGCACCATAAAATCTCATTATAAAAAATCTTGTTATAGTTGATAATTTCTCGCAAGAAATTCAGTTCTTAGGGCCGCCTCAATATCATTTAAATTGAGTGAAAATATATTTTTGCAATAACCAAGTATTTGTGATCTCATTGACTTCTCTGCAATGTGATTTTACTGTAATAATCTTTTCCAAGTGTCAATATTCTTTGGTGGGTTTTACAGCGGTTTGATTTTTTTGTTTTTGCTAAAAACAGTCGGATAAATGATCCACCTGCTCTGTGTTCAGCAAAGGAGCCTGGGGGTTTACTTGTGCCTCGTTGGTTTCCAAAATCGTCCATTTCAGAATCAGAGGATGGATTGCTCAAGTACTGCTTATTGAGACTGGCTCCATCAGAAGCAGGATGAGCAGATGGGTCCAAGGGCTGCTCTTCTTTGAATCCACTAGAACCTTCCATTATTGGCTGCATCAAGGGATTCTTTTGTCCCATCCCATAGGCCATCATCTGTGATGGAGTGTATTGTTCATGTTGATCTAAAATTAAGTCACTTCGAAGAAAACAACTAAACGCTACTCACCTTCATTAAATGTCCAGTATGACCCAATTTTTTATGGGCATATTCTTCCAGAACAGGGTTCTTTGGTGGTGGGATCAAAGAGCTTTCTGGCAATGGCGGTAGGCTCAGGTATCTCAATTCGTCATCCACGCACGCAGGAATTACATCATCGTTTTTGGTGTCGGTGTAATACATCAGGTACAAGTTGCACATTTCCCTGAAACGCGTCCTTCCTTTCACGAAAAATTTTGATGAAATATCACGTACGAATAAAATCTTGGAGGATTGATTCAAATCTCACCATTAATAGTTTGCGTGTCTCGCGTAGTGGAGTTATACACACATCGAGCAGCAATAATGTCTCCATGTGAGATTTTGTAGGGTGGGTTGATGGGATAAAATGTTTGTGGCCACTGCGGGTTTCCTTTGGCGAATAACTCGTATTTCCGGGTCTTTGAAAGGTTAAAATGAAATCAACCTACGGTTATTCCCTGAAATGATTGAAATACAGTCAAACCCCAATTTAGGGCCACTGTTTGTCCTGGCACATGTTGTGGCATTAAATCAAGGGTTATTGTTTGAGAGATAGGTCCAGTTCATGCTGGTTTCCATTACAGTACTGTATAGGAAAAAAACAAGGTTGTTCACGGAATGTTTAGGCCAGGCAGAGTGTTTTATAACGGAAAAGCCTGAATAGTAGTTTGAAGCTCAAATGCACTTCTTTCATATTTCATTTCAAAATACTGTATGTATCAAGGCGGAGTGTATTAGAATTTTAAACTTATTGCATCTAGTAAAAGATAACATCTTTATCTCAAGATGTTGTGTGCATTTGAGTTTGTTTTATGCAAAGTGCCATTATGAAGGATTCACCAATGTTTCCACTAAAGTTTCAAACTTCATACTTTCAATGAAGCTTGAAGGAACAATGAAGCTAAAAAAAATAGATTTTTCACATTTATCCTGAGTTTTATGTCAACGTGTGGCTGTGATTCCCAGTTAAAAATCGTATATAATTCAATGATATCCTCGAAAAATGCCTGGATTACCGTACTTCAAATTCTGAAATTTTTAAAGCATGAGAAATATTTTTCGGTGGCAAGTGAATAGTTTGCACTGAATGGGGGTTTCCCTCAACTCCAATATAACGGAGGGACGTTCGTACCATGGGAAATTTGTAGCATTACCCAAGGGTGGCACTAAATTGAGGGTTGACTGTATTTGCAGCAAAACTCACGTCAGGGAAATATTTGTAGCTGGTGATAACAGTGCCCAAATCATGTGCGTGCGTTCTGAATCCAAAAATATGCATGGTCTTGGGAGACTTTGAGAAACAGTTGATATCAGCAGTGACATCTACAAGTTCCGGAATGAGAGTAACGCATTCATTGCATCATTTTCGCTCGAAGATCTCACTTGAGTAGTGGGATTTTTTTACATGTGACTGATGGCTATTTCATTGATGCGTGTTCAGGGTTGCCACTTTAAAAAAGGGATCGGCACTGAACTTTTTTTCATGTAGAAATTGTAGGTTAGATGATTTAGTATCATTCCACATGTCTGTGAAGTTTTGCGATAATTGGAAGAATAACTACTGTACATGAGAGTTCATTACCGATTCCCCAGACGAGCTTTTAAATTGAAAACATGAATTAAATTAATGCCACATTTGAAATATTGCCGTACTCAATTTCAGGCAGCCACAATAATCTTATCTGTAAATGAGTTCATAGGATAAAGTTTCCATTGACCAACATTTCAAAATTTTGAAGTTTCCGCTTTTTGAAATGAATAAGAATTGTTGGGCTGAAAAATGGGAACATTTTACAGTTACTTCTTTTTGTACATTTTCCTGTTCTATTTTGACTCAATTTCTTAGTTTGAAACTCAAAATTTTTGAAGTTTCCGCTTTTTGAAATGAATAAGAATTGTTGGGCTGAAAGATGGGAACATTTTACAGTTACTTCTTTTTGTACATTTTCCTGTTCTATTTTGACCCAATTTCTTAGTTTGAAACTCAAAATCTGACTGCCTTAGTTTCATGTGCTGTGCCGTATTATTTTTCCTGGGAGGATATAATCTATCCTCAGTCACGTACTTCTTGCAAAAAATTGATGTCATGGACTAATTATGCCAGTTTTTGTATGGGGACTTACTGCACTTTTTCGCTCTCGTGTCATCATGTTGACTTACTGCTTTTGGGAGAAATGTGTTGAAAACATATTCATAATTTTTATTTTAATGTATTATTCTGATGATTCCAAAGTCGAACTCAAACATGGAAAAAGAAGACCTGCATTTCTATGTTGATCTTGAAATGTATTGTTCTTTTTACTCATAAATTGTCAGACCTGATTACAATAAGTTCTGCATTATCAACTTCGTAATGCCATATTGTAGATTTTTGTTGGAAGAAATGAAGCGATCGAAGAAAAGCGTTTTTGGGATGTAAGAAATTAGTCACCCCAATATTCCCATGCAAAAATATTTTTCAACTGCAGTACTCCATTAAAAAGAAAAAAGTTTTACAACTGCAGAAAATTCAACACAATATCAGCAATTTGTAACTTTGTCTTTGTTTTATAATATGCATTTTGATCTGATTGGTATTTTGTTTTGTGGAAATGCAGTTTTAATCCAGTCTTTTACTAGCTTTTATATTGACAGGGTACTTTCATCAAGGCCTCGGGTTTCGGTACGCATGTTGATGAAATGCAGTACTGTACTGTATATTTATTCTATATAAAACTGTCTTTCACTCACTTTCTTTGTGCGGTGGAATGATGATGTTGTAGCTTGCAACCAACATATAGAGGGCTCCAAATGATTTTGGCCTGAAAATGGATCATTGAACTGATCAGCAACTTTGTTGAGTACCCAAGGGGTTTTAAAAATATTTGGTTGAGGATTGGTCGCAAATGAAAACATCTTCAACTTTTCGCTTGCAGTTCACCCAAATTTTCTAGCAATACCGAATGATGATACTGTTGATGAAATGTACAATAATGAAAATGATAACCGGGGTTATCAAATGCTTTTTTATTCCTTAAATAGGTTTAACCTTCTCGGTTTCACATGTATTTTCTATTTATTACTACATTATAAAAGTACAGTACTCAGGTGGATATGAAACGCTCTTGGTTGAATAGATCATTTCTCGACAGACTTGGAAACGAACGAAAGTTGGAAAAAATTTTGAATATTCAAAAAATATGAATTCGAATCCTGTCCTCAAGGTAATACGAAACAAAGGCAAGCCCATAATAAAATGAATTCTGCGCATTTCCCCCTTATATTTCTATGATAATATTTTAAATATTGTTTCAAAGGTGGTGAATATTCCGAACAAGTCCTCCTAAAAGTCAATGAAAATGTTTTTGCTCGACGACGGAAAGATTTGGAAAACTAATTAAAGTTAATCCTCAAAGGGATCCATTTTACTCCGCATCTTGCGTAGTTTAATTTGTGAAGGAAAAAATGAAAATTTAGAAAAATAATATTTTGGTTTTTTTTTTTCCTGGAATTTTTGGTAAATTCTGGATTTTTCTCCGTATCTTGAGACCTTATCTCCATCAGAGCTCAAGGTAGATTTTCAGAGTTGAAATGCCACATACGCCGTTCGTTGATTTGTTACATGTCACGGCTTCCACGCGCTTGGACTCCAATTTAATTTTTTTGTGACGACAAAAGTGTACTGTATCTCCACTGAATTTTGACGAAAATCTTTGCAATTGAAGAAGTTCTATGAGATTTGAGCATACAGTAAAGCGATTGAGGAATAAATCTCTACTAACTTCACTTTTGTGTAATGAAGACGCATTCCGCTGTTATCTTTGATGGATTCCTTGCCCAGAGCCCGAGCATAATGAATCTGAATGGCGAGAGTTGTTCCGGCTGCCACGTGGAAACCCACGTGTTTGGGTAACAGGACTGGCGGGGCATTCATGGCCCATGCAAACATGACTTTGTAGGGCCCCGAGCACACCCCAAGTTTCCCGCAGTTCCTATATATGTATACGCAAAACACAAACGATAACTCTGTGTTTTCTCCAAAACTGGAACCGATTTCCGACAATAAGCAATAAACCCCAGGCCAGTTGTTCATTCAAAGTGATCAGGAGTAACAAACGAGAGTGTATTTTCTTATCGTAGATTTTTCTTGAAAACTATATTTTTGGCGGGAATTATCAGAGCAATTCCTTTGGCGATTTCAGGGAAGCAAATTTTATCAGCTGACAATGTTGTGTTTTTTTTTACCAGTGAGCTGATCCAGTTTATTTTGAGGCGCAGAAAACTACCTGCTGGAAGGCCAGAAAGCGCTTGAAGATTCTCGGATTATTTTGAAGTTCTCAAACCTTGGTTTGCTGTGTGTTTTCATATCATTTTAATGCAGAAAAGAAAAGGAAAAGCAGTTTTGTTCTAGCGCTTGTCTTGCTCACCCCTGGATGCCAACCTGGAGGCAGCAGGGACCTGGTTTTGTGTTTGGTTTTCTCCAGATCGCAAGGTTTCATTTTCCTGCTGATTTTTGGCGTTTGAGTATGAAAAGGTTGAATTTTTGTTGAAATCATCAGAGCATTTTTACCTGTTAAATCTGAAGGTGAAATAAAACTGTTGTTGGCAGAGAACTTGCCTAAATTCTTGGTCAAATGTCGGCTTTGTTTATAGCCCAATGTCAACTTTCTATCAATCCAGTGCAGCTTGAAAAATTGAACTACATATATTCTAACAATTGAACTGCATTTTGGATACCTAATCTTCCTAAACAGGAGGAAGATACAGCAAAATAAAAGTAACACATGACAGACAATACCTTTCAAATATCTCAGGAAAAGTCAACCTGGAAAAGTGGAAATTGATCTCAACTCTTATTCTGTGTAGAATACTTTCTCCAAAGGAATGACATGTGCTATAATACTGAGCAAGGTAAAAAAAAAAACCATGTTTTCAAGCGGTGCTTCATATTAAAAGAAAAGATTATGAAAGCATGTGAAACTGAAATTTCAGTCGTACATTAAAACAGCATACCACGTGTTGCTTTTTATGATCTTCGCACCTTGAAGACAAGCAAAAACCAGCATGTGATGAATCGTATCCGCGCTTGCTTCCAAAGGCTCAAATTTGGTGATGTACACCTCTTCATCGAACGTCTTGTTCAAATTCACTGCACAAAGATACTCATCCGTCTGTCAAAATTGGAAACTATGAAAAATTGGCTCCGAAAGTCGAATTGAATGATTGAATGATCATGGTGCTTGTATAAAAAGTTTCTTGCCTGAAAATTCACAAATAAGATGATGCCAACATTCCAATTTTTTTGCATCTCAGTTCCAAGCGATGAAAAATCGATTGAAAAAGTTTATTCACATTTTTTGAAGACGATTATAATCCTAGCTTGAGGAAGAAAAGAAGAATATGAATTTTCCATTAGGGTGACTGCGATTACAATGGGATAGAAAGCTTGCTTTGAGCAGCCAACGGATTTTTATTCTTCTAAATTTTCGACAGGTTGTCAAATTCTTGCCAAAATGTTGTAAAAAAAATTGTACAAAAGTCTGGAATATTTGCTTCAAAGCATCGGCGAGGCTTCGAATTTATTTCTAGCCATCCACGCGTATCTGGATGATGATACAACCCTCATGAAAACTTTCCGATGACTTGAAAAAATAAAAACATTTGGTCATTATTTCCTTCCAACAGTAATTTATCGCAGCTAAAACGCTAATCATCTATATTTCGTCAGATTTATATTGATGAAAACTAGTGAAATTTGAGATTAAAATTGAAAGTTGCTCGAATACTCGGAACGATGATGATGGGATTGACTTCAGATCGTCCGAACCACGAGCCTTCCGAATGTAATTGGCCCAAATTTTTCAAGTATTGGATTATTATCATAGAAAAGAAAATTTGAGACTTTTCCGGAGATGAATACCATAATGTTGAATACACGCGTGAACAGCGTTGAATTCCAGTTTATGATTAAATGAGAAATTCCATGATGACAAAGATTTGAGAAATTTCGAATTTGAATGAAGAAAAAAAAAAACAAATCGGAAGAAGCGTATACCTCCATCGGCGAAGCTCCTGGCATTCGGATGTCCACATAATCAGATTCACGGGCCTCATTTTTGTGCTTTGGCTTCACTTTTTCACAATGACTCAGGCCCAACGATACCGAAATTGAAATCATCAATATTCCCCGAAAACTTGTCATGTTTCATCACTCTCTTGAGAAATGCCTTACCATTAAATTGAAATCACTCGTGATGAAGCTCTAATAAAACAGTTCCACCATCGAGTTTATTATTCTGTGTATAAAAAAGGGTTGGTTCATGAGTTTTGAAAATTTTTGTAATAGATCCAATGGAATGTCAGCTATTTAAAATGTTTTTTGTTGCCTGCATAGCTCCATCACTTGGCAATAATTCCGTCGTGTTCAACACACTTTCCGCCGATTCCAATCCATTTTTTCAGGCAATAAATCCAATGTTAGGAATAGTGTCCAACATCAAGTGTTTTTTACTTAATTAAGCACCGTGTGGATTCTGGCTATTCCGTGCAAGTGAAGAATGGCCTGAAAGTTACTGCTTTTTAGGGCAGGGACAGCCTCATTTCCGCCATCAAACAGCAACTTAATCAACTCGATTTTCGGCACTACTTAATCACTGGATTTATCGCATGGAAAAGGGCATTGAAATCATGGAGAGAGAGATTATGCTGAACAGCACTTAAGGGCTGCCAAATAATGGAGCTACGCTATTACTGCATAAAGAAATAATTATAGTAGATTAAAAAATTAATCTAAAAAACCACGTTTTCAAAAAGCAAAAAATAACCTTAAATGTGGTGCGCATCTATTTCATTTGTATTTCACTTCTTCCCAACAATCTCCATGCGCACCACGTTTAAGGTTATTTTTTGCTTTTTGAAAACGTGGTTTTTTAGATTAATTTTTTAATCTACTATAATTATTTTATTCTTTTTAAAAAATATTCTTAAAATTTATTTTTTCACAAAAGATTGCATTGTCATCAGTTTCTAGGCTATCCTGAAAGTTTCAGCTTGATAGCTAGTCGGGAAGTGAGTGAAATTTGAGTTTCAAAATTTGATCTGGACAAACAAACAGACAAGAAAGTGAGTTAATAAAAACGTGTTAATTAATTAGAAAAAAAAATGTTCCAGGGGGTGGGATTGAACTCGGACCTCTGCGACCAATTCAGTTCACCATGGGTTTTTTTCTTGGGGCCAAGGAAAACCTGCTCAAAGTTTTATTATAGAAATCTACTATAATTATTTTATTCTTTTAAAAAAATATTCTTAAAATTAATTTTTTCACAAAAGATTGCATTGTCATCAGTTTCTAGGCTATCCTGAAAGTTTCAGCTTGCTAGCTAGTCTGGAAGTGAGTGAAATTTGAGTTTCAAAATTTGATCCAGACAAACAGACAGACAAGAAAGTGAGTTCATAAAAACGTGGTAAAATGGGGCTTGTTGAAGCTCCGTTGGATCTATTACAGAAAGTATCGTAACTTATGAACCAACCCTCGTACATATACAGTGAGACCCCCACATGCGACACCTTGACATGCGGACAATTCGACATAGGGACACTTATTTTCTGATGAAAAAATTAATTAAAAAGGCCCTACATGAGGACACTGACTTGACATGGGGACATTTTGTGGTAAAATTCGAAATGAGTTTCAGGCCAAATTACAGTAAGAAACAGATACAGTATGTAAGAAAAGTTCTTGGTCATTTTTCTCACCAATTTACCATCCATTCAGCTAATTGAAAAACAGTCAACTCCAGCATAGAGGGACTTCTTTCTCTCTTTTTCACTGGAATGTTATTTTTACAGAGAATGCCAACATTTATATGTACTGTACGGAAGTATCAGTATTCAAGTCCACAAATGTCCATATTGTGTTGAAATATATTGATTGAATCATTTTAAATCGGGAGACAATTTCCATTTTCATGAATTTAGGGTGAGTATTTTGTCCATAAAACGCCAATTAAAAATTATATAATGTAAGTCTAAGGGAAAACGAGGCTTGACTTAAGGACACTCTTGATGCACCAATTACGTCCGCATCTCGGGGTCTCACTGTACAGTATACAAGGGTTTACACTCTTCCGCGCGGATCAGCTTGTTGCTGCTGTTCCGGGGAAGCTTCAAAATGTAACATTTCTAGGCCTGATTCATCACATGGATCAAAAGGGCTGAGAAGTGTGTGAAAATTGGTGGTTATGACATTGAGAAGGTGTTTGCCTAACCTCTTGGAACTATGGTGAACATGAGAAAAATGTGTTTAAAAAGTCCTGGTGTTCAGATCATTTCAAGTCCACACCAAAACAAGTCTGCGCAGAAACGTGTAACCCCTGGCATATACAGTATATGAATACGGTATGATCACGATGAGTAATTTTACCACCATCAAGAATGTCGAGCAGTTTACAACAACATAACAGCACAAACGCATTCAAAAACCTGAGATCGCGAGCAAAACCGTCAAACTCGCTTCACCAAGAATTCTGTTACAGGTAACTGGCTCAAGACAATGGCGGGTGGTTAAGCCCCGCGCAAACGCACAACCGCGATTTCGTGCATTCCCCTCTGATACTGTATAGTGCACTCCAACGACTGGTCGTGATGTTTCCAAGCTGACGTTTAAAAAAAAAAAAAAAACCCGCACCTCACAGAAAACAAAATCACAGAAAATTATGCAGGAAATAAATATTATATTTAATATTTTAGATCAGTTTTACCCAACCCGCGGACAGGCGACGGTCACGTCATTCCTAATTCTTTGTAAGAATTAAAATATTACTGATCAAAAATATAAGACGTTTTTTGCTGGTACGCGGGAAATTTTCAGCACGATAAATGCCTCAGAAGTTGTACTGAACTCTCTTTTTGTTATCTGATGGTTTGGAAAAAAATGGCAGTTGAAATTGTCTGAGTAAAATGAAAGAAAGGTTTTTCCCTTTAGAATACTTGTGAATAAATTTCGCCTGCTGGAATAAATTATTCCCACTTTTCCTTCTGGAAAACCTTTTCTTAAACCCAGCTTTCTAATTTTTTGAACACGTTATTGCACTGTAGCTGTTCCATTGGTTCTTACGATGACGAGCCGAAATTCAGCTTGATAGCGCGCCTCCTTTCAGACTTTGCAATGCGAAAAAAATAGAACATCGTACTTCTGATGATTTTTATTCTGGAAGAAATTGCATGGTTTCCCTCTTGATATTTTCTGTCCGATCTCAATTGGTTTGGATCGGTGAATGTACGGGCTTGGGTTGATGATACGCTTTGATTTTAAAGTCCAGTTTCCGAGGACTTTTTGTTTTTCTAATGATACTTCTTATGTTTCTCGAGAAATCTGCCATTCAAATTATAATTATCATAAATTTCGGATATTGAAACATGACCTATCGCCATCAATAGATATATGCGTATTTAAACAC